CATTACGCATTTTTTATTCGCCATATCTGCGGGTAGGTTAAACGCGTACAATAATACGTATTGACGCCGCGACGCATAGACGCACACTCAAGTGATTCATGTTACTCTAAAAACTCTATTATTGGTATATGAAGATTTGTCTCCACCTAAAATGAACCAATTCCAATGAAAAATATTCAATACTTGATCCGCCGCGGAGACGAGCTTTTGTGCGTAGAACTTTAAACTGCAAGTTACCGTGGCGTATCGTTTATCCTAATTCTCATGGTTAGCTATCGGAGTATGATATTTGTGTATTTATGTACAAGTCCTATGAATATTTATACAAACGGACATACAGTCGGACATTACGAAATGTTATGCAAAGACATCTGAATCTGATGTCATCTATCAACGACATCCGGAATCCTTGTATGGCTTTAGAATTTATTTTTAAACTTTATTCTGTGAAAAAAGATTGACAACTGTATAAATTTCACATGTCAATATAATAAAAAAAACATTTTAACAATTCATAAAACCACCTGTCAAAACACGTCTTATTAGATTATTAGAATAAATATTAGTAAGGGTTTTTAAAATGTTAGTAAAAGTTGTAATAATCAAATAGGACTTGCAAATAACACTGCAAGGTCACGTGACCATCGCATTAAGTTATACAACTTGTTACAATAGAATATTAGTCGATGCGTGCGAAGGTTAAACCATTGGTTATCGTCAACGATGGGGCTCGACGAAACAATACAGGGCGTTACCATGCGATTGTATGTATTTAGGTATAATTAAGTAAGGATAAAGTAAAACATAAAATTGTTTATTATTAGATGTCGCACGCGACAAATGGAAGTAGCCATATAGTCGAGATACGTTCAGCCGTTTTAGACTGTTAATTCTAACGACTATCCATCCATCAATTTAACTTTTGTATTTATAACACAAGTAAGATTATTACAAAAACCTATAACAATAACACTTCTAAAATGCAGTTAAGTTGTAGAAAAGGATAAATATTTTAATTCCATCCACAAACCTCATACATAATAACAATAATGGCTTTCTCGCCTGAATAATAAAAGGTGCGAGAAAATTACTCTCACGACCCGCATCCCATTTCCAACATGGAATCTATGTATAAGTGATACTCGGGAGCGACCGCGCATACAAATAGGTGAACCCGACTCACCTGTTCACCTTAAACAGGAGTCCAACAGGGGTCATCGCAGTTTGTTTTCCAAATTCTTCACTCGACACTTCACAAACAGTCAAAAAACGCACAAAAAAAACGTTCGAAAATCAAATCGAAAATTCAAATTTCGAATTCTCGATTTAAATTTTTACACAATCGAAAACGTTTTAATTATCGATATTAAAAAATCGATTTTGTAAATGGAACTCGGCAGAGCGTGGGATCGCGCGTGTGGTACGGTCGACGGCCGCAAGTGTTCTGTAGCGAAGTGACAAACAATGGTGCTGCTTGAAGACTAATTATACAGGTTTCTTTATTAGTTACGACAGCAGGTGGGAGCCCTTAGCTAACAATGTTGCAACACTCCGAACTCCCTATCCAATGTTTCGGTATTATTTTTGGTAACGATTCACGGATACTCATTAAGTTAAGTCGAGTTACCGCTAAAGAGACTTGGAGATTGGTGCTGGGAGTGTTTAATTAGGTACGGTTAATAGTTTGCGTGCGAATTATAATTATAATTTTTCCATACCAACGTTTTATAAATACTATTTATTCAATTTACTGAAAGCTATAATGTTTGAAGAGTTTGGATTGCGATGTTAAGTCCATCATTCGAATCCGAAGGACCACAATTTGCATATTCACGTCTGCAAAATTCCTAATGTTTTGCAAATTTAAAGTTACCAGGATTACTAGAATAAGTTAAAAATTTGACGTTTTAATGGCTACTGAAAGCGCGAAAGTATTCCTATTACCGTTTTCCATAGCTAGACTTGATCGGTTTTGGAAATAAAATCGATATAGGCATTAAAAAACTCGGGAGGCTATCGGCTTCTGCCGTTTATGGTTTTATTACTGACACCACATCCGTATGCGCGTGCGCCACAGGATGAAGTTCTACAAACTTACAAGCTACGGTCAACATCACTCTTATCTCCCCTACAATAAGAGCGATATTTGATAAACTCATGATATTATTAACTTCCCGAAATGATAACCGAATAGCACTGAATTTATTATTTTAAGTAACCTCTATGTCGTAAGCAATAAGGTTCAAAATGGTGTGATTCAAATGCAATATAACATTGCGGGAATGTCTTGATATCGTCATGTGGCACATTATTTCCTTTACATAAGACGAATATTAACTAACAAAGGTTCCTTATGTCCGTTTTCGAGAGATACGTCAGTTGATGGGCCACCACCACTGCAAAAACACAGATCATTTACAACAAAGACACTGCAAAAACCATCTTTGGGACTGACGCTAATCTCTTATTTTATGACATATACTTACAATAAAAATTCTGACAATTACGCTTTAAAACTACGTCAGACGTAAGCGAAGTGAGTCATTTCAAAATCTTTACCATAATAAGAAAATTGTCAAGAAAACTTGAATGTTTTTGTTGATAATTATATTTTGTATTAAGAAATAAGAACAGACTGCGCTCCATGGAGATAACATCTATATAGGCAAACTAGCTTTCGCCCGCGACTCCGTCCGCGTGGAAAAAAACAGTGAGTAGCCTATGTGTTCATCCAGACTATTCTCTAGATCTATGCCAAATTTCATCGAGATCTGTTCAGCCGTTTAGGCTACAAACTAACAAACATCCATCCATCCATCTAAACTTTCGCATTTATAATATTAGGTACGATTATTATTGCATTACAAACAAATGCCGATCACACAGATAACTAATGCATAAGTGTAATTAAAAATTCAATAATTCGTTTTGTTTTTCGCGGGTATGTTCTACTAGCTCATACAAGTTCCCGTCGAGTGGTGGATATGTTAGTCGCGTACGGAATTTTATCGTCTACCCGCTAAGGAAACATTTCCGACCACATTTGTCAAATTAAGGACTTTGACAGACGAGTCTTATTGTAAGATATATCGGCTCAAGCTTGTATGTGTAGAGATAAATTGTTATAAACGGACTATAGTAGTGCAATTGAGTAAAGTAAAGCGTTAAAAACTAAAAAATCTAAACATTTTTTGCTCCAAACAAATATCTAGATATCTTTATCATGTACATTTTTTAAAACCATGTAACTTGTCACTGTTTTTCATTAAAAAAATATAGGAAAATCTAGAATATTAAACATTCACCGAAATAAATATGAAATAATCAGTGAATAAACGAAGTTTTCTTTGACTGTCACGTTACCATGGTAACACATGGCTTCCCGAGTGTGTCCGTGTGCAGTAAGCCTAACTGCGATAGGGGCGACACCTGTCGATCTAGCTTCTGTTTGCATGCCTGACGCCGGGCATCCAGTTCGACTGGGTTTATTTATAAGTAAATCGACAGAATGTACCGTATGACGGCCATTCTCACCAATCGTCAATGAAACTCTATCACTAAAATATGTCATATAGTTAAAATAAAAAAAGAGAAAACAAATCATTGACAAAACAAATATAAGAAGGATAATTTAGATGCGATGCATGTAGATAAATTAATATGAAAGAGGCAAGAGTTAAGCTAGAACCACACCAAATGGAAAGCACTGTCTTCGGTTTATTCCTCTAGGTTATAGGCATATGTCGTACTGTAGAATTGTTAACTATATTAGTTAGGTTGTTTTAGTACTAGGACGAGAAGGACTTAGGTACAACGTCTCCTTGATGAAACCGGCTACCATTATCAAATTCGTCGTAAATCTGTCAGCTGGAAAGACAGTGGGAGTTACGTTAACGGTAGTATACAGTGAGAGTTTTTCCGACGTAGGAATGTCAAGATAAACATTGTAAACAATACATTTGCTTGATAAATCAGTACGTTGTCTACATGCAACAAGGAAGGCCGTTACAGCGGTCGGCTGATTGTTCTCGGTTTTGTTATCGTTGGCGCGGGTTCGATTCCTGTTTGCATTCCTCCGTCGGCCGTAAAACGCAAACAATGGCCAACTGAAAGACTCCACTCTGGGGTTATTTCCTGATTTCAACTGAGATTCTATAGTTTTTTATTTAATTGTACAAACATATTTAAAACACGTATATTAACAGTGTTCGTCTTATTGTTTTGAAGCATCAAAAAAGTGTTTTAAATAACCTATATTCAAGTTAATTTATGAAGCCAATGTGCGAAATTCGCACTTAATTTAACTGATTGGTTTTCGAAAGCGTTATTTGCACTTGAATTAACTCAAATTGTTGTATTAACGTTGATTTATATACGGAATATTTAAACAAGATAATGTATGATGTTTTGATATTATCAGACTGTTAGCAATTCAAATGCATCAAATATGAATAATCATAGGGCCACATATCTAGGACTAGGACGTGTAATATACGAAATAATCATGCGTTAACACGCGAATATTATAGTGTAGTAATAGTCAAGCAAGAACGTCTCCCCGCTCTGTCCCCACGTGGGGACAGATGAGAGTAAAAAGTTTTATCAGTCCCACCTTTTACGACTAGGGGACGGTTGGAATAATTTTATTTCATAACGGTTCCATCTATCACCTTATTGGTGATAGTGGGATTAAAAGGACGGAGGAATCCTTTTATTCTCATGGGGAGACAGAGCGGTGGGACGGTTGGGTATAATCCGTTGCCCTTTGCTGTGGAGGGGCAGTTTTACTTTATGATACAGATTATATAATAAACTAATTAAATTCATTTTATAAACACAAGACAACATACAATGTAGCCATAACAATATTGAATTGTAGTAAGATTTTACAAGATGCAATATAGTGAAACATTTCTAATACAAATGAGTAAACTTGGATTTAGATTGGCAACACTTGAATAATTGTCATCCCTTTTAATTCCTATTGAAAAACAAGGACAACAATACAAGTGATCTGTACGTCCGCCAATAATCTACAAATTATTTGAACTTATCAATGGATAGTCGTGAAACAGAAGAGTTGAGGAATATAGTTCTTTCTCTGTCACACTTGTTCTTCTACCATCTCACTCTCTGCGAGTAACTTTGCACCTTCTGGATACACAAGTTTTTTTGCAGAGATTGTAATCAAAAAGTAACACAAGTTCGTTGTCCATCGTTTAATAATTCACAAAAGAAACAGTCCATAAAATTAGAATAGACATCAAGTTCTTTAGTTGATTTCTTAAAGCTATGAATAAAGATGAAACGTATAAATGTTTAAAAATGTACTTGCAATGATCATTTTCTTTTATCACCAGTAGTTAATTAAATTAAAACCAAAGTCCGCCATTTTAATAAACGGATATCCGGTTTTGAAGCGAATCATCCAAACGATAAACTGGTCCCAGCGATACATTAACGGTCTGAAGGTTTAATTAAAGAGTTGATTGCAGTTTAATACGGGAAAATTACAGGAGTAAGAACGTTAAGGGGTTGATAAACATCAGAGACTTACACATTATATATCGGATAAATTATCTGCAGTTATGTTGACTTGCTAATTGATTATTACAATTAACTAAAAAACCGAGATAATTATACATTTATTTTATAATTCACGAGCTTTCGCCCGCGAATCCGTCCGCTCGGAATTAAAAAAAAAACAAAAGTGAGTAGCCTATGTATTCTTCTAGACTATCCGCTACATCCATCGCAAATTTTATCGAAATTCATTCAGCCGACTACAAACTCTAAGAAACATTCCATCCAGCCATACATCTAAACCTTCGCATTTATAATAGTTACGAGCTGTTGCCCGCGACTTCGTCTGCGTGGTATTAGAAAACATACGAACTATATAAATTACAAAAAGCTACGTATCCCTCGGGAACCGGACATTTCTCTGGGATGAAGCTTATCTCATGTGACTTTGTTTTATATCTGTGCCAAATTTCTATAAGATATGTTGAACCGTTGCAGAATGATCGAGTGAACATTAAAAAACTAAATTAATGAATCCCACGGGAACCGTAACTATTCCCGGGATAAAAAGTAGCCTATGTGTTCTTCTAGACTATGCTCTAAACCTGTGCCAAATTACATGGAGATCCGTTCAGCCGTTTAGGCTACGAACTCTAACAAACATCCATCCATCCATCTAAACTTTTGCATTTATAATATTAGTAAGAAGTAAGATTAGTGAGATTCATATTACGAAGATAATTCCTAACTAACTAAAGTGAATAATTGTAAATAATCACTGCTTTAGTAAATAACTTTTAAATAATGTTACATATTAACATTTAAAAGAACATCATTTGTGAGGAATTGTATCGCAATTTTAAAATGACAAAAACTCGTGAGACCTCATCATTTAAATACAAAAGTGTGTATTCATTCGAACATGATAGCAGCT